TATCAGTTAATTGTGAGACTCAATAGAACTGTATAACTCTTTTCCCCTTGACCTAAAGGCACTAAATTCTTGCTCTTCTTTATATCCACTGTCAGGGATGCTGACAGTGGCCCCAAAAGGTTTCCAATGTCTCGACAGCGAGAGAAACTGCAACCCCTGTCTCGATGCAGCCAAAGCCTGCAACCTCAACGGCAGTTGCAAGAGGCAACGCTCCGCCTACATCGCTACCTGCAGCAAGGAGGACCCCAACAAGGGTGAAACCTGCAACAAGAAGCGCTGTCACAAAGCTCTGAGGTTGTTCCTGGACCGCGTGCCCCTTGAGTACAGCCACCGGTTGCTCTTCTGCCCCTGCCAGAGTGAGGGTTGCGCAGAACGACGCAGGCAGACAATCGTGCCTGATTGCTCTTATAAAGATAAGGAGAAACCCAACTGTCTGGAGCTACGGAAGGTCTGCCGCCAGGACTCTCTCTGCAGGTGAAGGAGAGGGAACTGATGGGGGGCGGGGGTCTAAAGGGCAAAGGAAGAGTATACTGTACTGTATGTGCATGCACGTCTGTGTGTGTTTGTGGTTGTGTGCATTCTAGCTGGTTTTGTTGGTTTAATGGACAGATTTTAGTGCTGTGTGTATAAGACAAGCAACCGCCAAACACATCTGAAGATTCATTATCATCTTCTTATATTCATGGAAAATGAGAAAAAAGAAAATTTAATCTGTGCGTTAGAGAGAGTTCCTGTTTGACTTTAATTTTCTCCCTCCCATGTCATCGTAAAGTTGTATATTTCTCTGCTGTAACTTTGCCAGTGAAGTAATTAGACTTTCAGGGAAGCTGTGGCTATTAGACGCAGGATAAAGATGTGAGGCTAAGTTGAAGGGACAACGCTCAATTAAGCTGAACAAAACATTAGTGGATCACGTTGGCTGCATGGGGCCTCTATTGGATTCAAGCGGCTGGATTCAATTCACACCTACCCAGCCGTGACATGTTTCCTTGTGTTAGTGCTGCTGAGAGCAGGTGAAACACAGCGGTTGTACTATCAGCCAAATCAGCTGTCAAGATCTTTTTACCCCCCAGACCATGTCTAGCCGTCAGTAGGATACACATCCAGCCGGTTGAAGGACATATGCTCTGCATTCATTAGTCTAATAGCATAAAAAATGTGTGACATTTGAATAATTCTAAGCATTTAAAAGCCAATTGAGCCTAATGGAGTCCGACCAAGTGTTAGACCCTTGAAAGCTCAATACTAAAAATAATACTCATGATGTGAGAATCATCAGAAGGGGAAACTTTTGGCTACTTTTTCTTGCCCCAGTGAGACAGATGATTAGGCAGCTAATACAATTCAGGGACAATCAGTGATGGGTCTTGACAGAGTTGGTGGATTTAGTACTCCAAATTGCTGTCCAACCTCAGTAGTCATGGAAGATGATAGCACAGTCCCTGGTTTGTTGCATGCAGTAACTGCCTACATTTTTGATGGATAAAACAACCAACACATTGCGGAATATTACTATATTGACTTAACTTTTGCAAGTGTAAAAACATTTTGTGCCACTTTTGCATTACTTGTTGTTTTGCACTCTTTTGGCAGCCCATTTTCAATCCCAACTCTTCATATACCACCCCTTGGTCAGTGGCCCTATGCATGAAACTGTGACACTGTAGGTACCCCTATAGCATCATTTCTGGGCGCCCCTCTGGCGTAATGATTTGACCTGCTGTTGAAGTCAGGTAAAGAAGTATAAAAACTCCACATATGGAAAAGATTGGGGACTTTCACCCAGGGACCGCTGTTGTGACCGAAAGTCAACGTTGACTTATTTTAAGTTAGGCTTTTTGTGTAAGTTAATTTACGTAATGTACATAAGTTACAGAAGGGTAGATACAGAATGTAACTTACTGCCTAAACCTAGTAGTTTTTGTGCCTAAACCTAACCAAAGTGCGCCCGTTTCACAACATTAACCACAAAGGCATTATTTTAAAAGTCTAACCAGATGTTGCATATACTAACTTGACCGCTGAAACATACACATAGCACATCACACATATCACTGTTTGAAGACCAAGCAACTGTATTTGATAAGTTGTGAGTGAGAATGTGTCTGGCCATGTATAGTTTGTGATGTGGAAACACACGTATGTTCATCCTACATATGATTCCATCTTCCAAACCAAATAAGGTCAAAAGTGAACATCTGGATTAACTCAATATAGCAATGTGCCCTTTCTCCAAGGCTTAGAGAAGAGAACTACCAGTATTAACAAAGTTTAATACATATGATAAACCATGAGTTTGTCTCTACACTAACCATGCCACTACAAGTCATTGTGAGAAGTATATCTATGGTGTGTCACATGTATCCTGTTTCCGTTGAGGTGAGCAGCTGTTGAGGCTGATTGTTAATGGCAAAAACCCAATTCCTCCTCACCAACACTAAATCCAACCACCATGCTGCTAAAGGAGGCAAAGTCTATTGCTGCTTCTCCGATTTATGATTGTCTTAATAATTACCTGCTTGCCTGCATTGTGTAATCTGTTTTCAGTCTGAGTTGCTTTCTTTGACCTTTAGGCCCTCAGGTGTCTGCTGTGCACCTCCTTATTGAGAAAGATGAAATAGAACGTTAAAGCTCATTATCTGTGGCTGCGTAATGCCCCACTGAGGTCAACAGCTCGATGAGTGTGCACATTCTCACACAGTGCGGACACACGCTGGCCTGCACCGACAACCATTCAGCAGTCACGAACCCACACACACACACACATACACACAACCACTTTGAGCCTGAACGTGACTCTAATAATCTACTGTTTGGGTGGTGCATTCTCCTGCAGTGAATAAGTGCTGCCATGCAAGAGAATGTCACTACGATTCAATTAAACTGAGATGTCATTGGTCAGTTCTGGGCTGACAGTGTTCTCTGATTGGGGATTTTATCCTGCCTTGAGGTGTCGACAATCAACACCATCCTGTGAGATATTCTTAACATGTCCTCTGTCTGTCTTTATGTCCTCCATCTGTTACATGATGTCAGACATCCTCACAGGACAGTCCTATGTCCTGGAAGACCTTGGAAATACAGATTTCTTGTTTGATTTGATCTGATAATTCACTAAGACATTGCATTAATCATCACATTATGTTCTGCAACTTAAGTATGTTGTACAAGCAAATTGAATTTAAAACGTATTTGTCATGCTAATGGAGGCAGTCTACAGATTAGGATTTATTTAGTGCAACCTTGGTGATAAGCACAATCGAATAATCCTAGAAAGAGCCCTCCCAAAACTTTTTAAGCACAGAAGTCACAGCATATTCAAGTATAACACTAGAGGAAACTTTCCTTGGCTCCGTTCTCCCCTCTCAGAGATGTGTTGATAAAAGCAGGGGAAGATCATTCAACGACAGGCCTGTCTCCTCTGGGGACACCTGTCTGACTCCAAACAGGGGAAACACAGCTAGCCCAAGCCTATTTCATTTTAACACAAGGGACGGATTGAGAGGAGGAGGGAATGGAATGAGGAAGGAAAGTAGGGAGAGATAATGAGACAGAAAGAGAGGGAGGATAGGGAGGATAGGGAGGGAGGGTCACAGAATCGATCCGGGCTGTAAAGCTACTGCAGCGGGTTGGAGGTCAGTGGTTTGGTCACACAGCTATGGATCTCTGCAGCAGACTCTGCAGGCCATCTCAAAGACAAGCTTAACTCCCTGCAACACACTCTGATGAAGAAAGGGTCACGGCTCAAAACACGCCCAAGTCAAAATGGATTTAAAAATGTATACTCACCTATTTTATTATTTATTTTAGACTTTGAAAGACCAGCAGTTCCTTGCTTTACGCTGTGAAAAATGCCTTCAAATACTTTCTTTTTTGAGTTTTACCTTGAGCACATTGGATGCCAGATTGGCTGTGATTTCACCTTTGGAGACTGTTCAGATTGTTCCAGGTGGAGCCCAGAGCTCAATCAAACAAAAAATAAATATTTGAAAGGATTTCAAATATATAATTTTGGCTTAGGCTTAGGTGGCATATTGTGCTGGAAGATTTCATTTTCCTCCTGGTCTCTGTGCAGGCAATTGTTGACATACTCTGGAGATCTAGGGACTGTAGATGGACAGAGAACAAGCATTAAATTGAGCAACTCTCATTTCTTACACCTTGTTGTACTTCTGCTGCAGTTATTACTTTATTTCCTCCCATAATCCTGCACAAACAGACAAAAACAGACATTGCTGTGTTTGTTACTGTTCTCCTATTTTCCTCACTTCCTCTCGTCTCAGCTTCTCCACTCTGTTCTCACCATCCTCCGATGGATCCAACATCTATTCATTTGGGACTGCTGAGTCCACAGAGTGACAATAGGCTATATTTGGATGTGCTGTTTTGGGTAGTGTAGTGTGAGCATGTGTGTGTGCATGCATGTATGCAAGCAGAGCAACTCCCTATCCATTTCCATGTCAGTTCACGCAACACAAGCCCAATGGAGCCTGACCCAAAGAGCATTGAGTTGTATATGTGTACTGTATTGATTGTCTGAACAATCAATGCAACACTTCTATCTTTGATTTATATCCCCTGGTCTCCAGGCTCACTGGGTGCTCTTTGATTGAGTTCTTTGGCCACAGGTTATCAAAGTGGGAAGCTGAGAGACAATCGATCACTGTACAGGTAACCTGACCCAGTTTGGGAGATGTACCATACCAGGCCGCCTTTGCTTATAGAAACTCACAGGGTATTGCACTCTCTCTCTTTCACACACATGCACGCGTGCACCTACACACACACACACACACACACTGCCCTAAATCAACAGTCTGCTCTGTTGTATCTGACAACTCAAGCCTCCACTGAGGGGGAACAGTGTAGGGAGAATGACTGGCCCAGATGGCATTACTGTGTAGCTTCTCAGAAGAAGCTGAAAGAAATCAGGATGTTGTTGCACTTTTATCATCACTTTCTCTATCTCACATTTACTCACACACACATACACGTTTGGCTCTTGTGCTTGCGAGGACCCTCAATGTATTCCCTGGCCACTAACCCTTTCCTAATCTCCCGTTCACACATATGGTTGGTTTACTATGATATACTGTAATTTTAATGAGTGACCAAAGCTTAAATGTGTGGAAACATATTTCTAAAATGAACTACTTCATTGTGTGTGGGTATAGTGGCAACGGACACATAATTGGAGCTGAGTATGTAAATTACATGCTCAAGTCAAATACGCTGAGGCTATAGACTTGTGAGGGGCAACAGACAGCCTGCTACTTAAAATGTGTATGTGTGAACAAGCGATAACTACAACAACTTCAATCCAAATATATTATTGAATTATTTGCACAGATTTAAACATAAATCTACATACAACACCCTGTTGAAGAAGCAATCACTGGCCAAACTGTCCTCACTTTCCACAAAGGTCTCAAATTCAAAATAGTCACAATGACAAAAGTATAAAAGCATATACA